ACATGACCCTTATTTCCTTACAATAGGGCTTGAAAACCATGAAGAATTAACCATTATGCTTAAAAAACTCAACATAGGTAAAAAAATCAAGTCGATATTATGTACTAAAAACCATGAAGAATGTTAACTCTAATTGTAAAAAAAATGTCAGCAAGCTATCCATCATAAACTATTAAAATATTAATTTGGTATACCTACGAGCTACGGTTCCAACACTTGGATGTTCCTATTACCTAACCATGACTCGAACCTTATTTCGAACCCATACACTAATGGCATTTGTCCATAGTTTTGTTAACAACAAAATATGAATCCCACATGGTTTAAGTACTAATACCTTGGCTCAAGTCTTACTTGACACTTGTTTCCTTACAATAGGTGTAACATCCCGAATCCCAAGTATAATATTTAATTAATTTATATTCTTTTTGTCTTATCAACTTGACGAGTTGGAGGCCCCAACTTGCCGAGTAGAGAGTGTTAATGGTCGCATAATTTCTAGAGTCTACTCGACGAGTTGGAGGACCCCAACTTGACTAGTACGAGCTGAGTGTCAAAACCCTAATTTTCAGGGTTTGTGTCCTATTTAAAGGACCTTAAGCCTTCATTTCCGCCTCCCTTATCATCTTAACACTCTGAGAGAAACCCTAATTGAGCTATATGCTTGTAAGAGAGAAAGAGGGGCTAATATTGCATATTGTAGTGCATTTTTTGGAAGAAGATTGAGGAGAAAAAGGCTTGAGATTAGAAGGATCTTATGGATCCATCAATAAGATTGTGTTCCAATCTTTATCTAAAACTTCATCATTTATTGGTTTTTGTCTTGCCAAAAACTAATGCAGTCTGGAAGCCCCAAATAGACTAAAATGTAATAATGACAAGTCATAATGACAATTATTTCATAATGACAATTGGTGTGATATTACAATAATTGTCATTATTACATTTTAGTCTATTTGGGGCTTCCAAAATGCTTTACTTTTTGACAAAAAAAACCAATAAATGATGAACGATGTGGGATTCATCTTATGTTGGGGCTTCTATAGTGTTGTAAGGAAACAAGGGTCAAGTAAGACTTGAGCCAATGTATCAGTGGTTGAACATGTGCGATTCGTCTTCTATTGTTAACAAAACTATGGACAACGCCATTAGTGTATGGGTTCAAGTCATGGTTAAGTAATAGGAACATCCAAGTGTTGGAACCACGGTTTATGTCATGGTTAGGTAATAGGGGCATCCACATAATCAACAAGGATTTCTCTATTCTTTATTTGGAGATTGAAAGATGATCATAGAGTTGTGAATGGATAATTTTGGAAAATCAATGGAGTTAGCGAGGCTTGTGAGTGAGATTTTTGTTGTTGGGATTGATGAAACCGATAAAAATACAAGGTGAGCTTAGAAGAGCATAAGAAATAAGACATGGAATAGTACATATTAAATTAGATCATATAATATATATTAGTTTAAAGGTAATCTTCAGAAAAGTCCAAATATTTTGGTTTATTGGTAATAAATAATGAAAAAGCCCTAAAATTTTAATTAATTAATGAAAAAACCCCAATATTGGATCAATTAACGAAAAAAGACGAGATACCGGCTAAATCTGTGAAACCGGCCATGAAGGGTTAATCCAAAGTTTTAACCGGTAATATGTCATTTTTTGTAAACAAAATTTAATTTGGGATTAAATCGTAAACTGACCTAGAATATTGAGACTTTTTCGCAGATTTCCCTAAACTTTATATAAAATAATGTGCCAGTAGATATTTGTATATTTTATAATAGAAAAGAAACATTTTATAACTAGTATAGTTTTATGTTTCCGTAATTTAACTACTATAAGTTTTTTATTTTATATTTTGACAACAAATCTGCTTTGGTTTGTATTTTCATAATTAGATTTCGACCAAAATTTACTTTTAAGTTGATAGATTTAGTCCCTATGAATAAAATAAATTGCAAAAATAATTTCTAAAATTTATAGAAAATATCATTGTGTAGTTTTTTTATTTTATTTTATTTTATTTATTATTATTTTTTTTACAAAAGTGTTCCATGTTTAACAAAAGTTTCATATTAGTTTTTGGGTTTCACAATTTATCCACAAAGGTTTTCTTATATTGGTAAGTTTGGTCTATAAATATAAAATAAATTACAAAAAACTCCCTATAATCTAGAGGAAATGTCTTTTTACATTTTTTGTTTAGAAAACTGGTCCACATGTCTCAAGAATTTTGTATGTTGGTTTACAAAATTATCCTTGTAAACAGAAAAAATCGTTGTGTAGTCTTTATACAAAAATAGTCCAAATGTTTAAAAAGAGAAATTAAATATTTTTCTACTTTTTGTTCCTATAAATCTTCCTACCCAATTAAATAGTGACATGTGTAACATTCTATTTTTTGTTCCTATAAATCTTCCTACCAAATTAAATAGTAACATATGTTTAACATTTAATGCTGATATTTTAATATTAGACACATGTTATGATTTAAGCATGATTTTATAGGAACAATAGTGGATATTTACAAAAATGATCCCTATGTTATAGAAAATGTGCACTTTACTTTTGTGTAAGCAAAACCTCGGGACTATGACTTATTAAGGTAATTAACTTTTCGGTATGTTCGCATCTGGGTAATTATTTTTTTTTTTGTACACATCTAGGTAACAAACTTGTTGGAAGTGTTCACATATGACTATTATGACCTGCTATAGCAAGTTAAATCCTAGATGTATAAAATAAATATTTAAATAAGAAAATTAATTAAAAATAAATTAATAAGGGCACAATAGCCTTTTTAGGTAACACGGGATCAAACGCGCAACAAAAATAAACAGTAGGGACCATCCAAGTTAAAAAAATAAGTTAGAGACAAAAAAAAAAAAGAATTCCCCCAAACCACAAGGACCATTCGTGTAATTTAATTTTTACTTTTTGTTTTGTTCATATTTGGGTAACTATTTTTTTTTGTACATATCTAGGTAACGAACTTGTTGAAAGTGTTCACATCTAGGATTTAACCTGCTATAGCAGGTCATAATGGTCATATGTGATCACTTCCAATAAATTTGTTACCTAGATGTGTACAAAAAAAAGATAGTTACCCAGATGTAAACATACCGAAAAGTAAATTATTTTAATAAGTCTTATTCCCATAAAATCTCTATCTCCTGCGAAAATGGGGAGATAAGATATGGGAAATTGGGAAAGTTCGTTTAAAATATAAATAAATAACTCCTAAATCGTTGGAAAATCACCTTGATCAGTTACTCCTTAAAACGAAAGAACCGCTTATAACAACTATATTGTTCCCTAGATCTCAAAATCGAATCGAATTCGAAGCAACATTAACAAGAGACAAAATTGCAAGAATGGTCCCTGTGGTATGTCAAAACTAGCAAGTTTGGTCCAAAATGGGTTTGGCCTGCAAGGATGGTCCAATAGTTTCGTTTTATTGCGAGTTTGGTCCAATTTGGTTTGAACTTTTTTGTAAAGATGATTTTACCCCTTATTATTTAATTTTTCATTTTTATTTTATTACCAACAATTAAAAATTAATTGAAAATAAAACAAAAATAAAATACTCTCTCTCTCTCTCTCTCTCTATATATATATATATATATATATATATATATATATATATATATATACACACACACACACACACACCACCGGTGACAAAAGGTGTACTGACAGCCCTTCTCCACCCCTCGTTGTCGATCGGAAAACACCCCCTGAGGATCGACGCTTCTCTCAGGTGCTACTTCGCCATTTCTTTCCCTCAACTAAACACCTCTGTTCTGATTCCATTCTTCTTCCTTCTCCCTTCGATCCAGTCGTTTGCCTTTCCCCCCGCTAACGAAAATCGAATCCCTTCGCATGATCTGTTTGACCACCAGACCACCATTTTGACTACTTTCATTCGTATTACTTCTTCCCTCTCTCGATCGACGAAGACGAAGAGTAAACCCATAGAGGATTGTCGTTCTCGACGGATCCCCTTGCACTTCATCATGATTTCTCAGCCGCATCGGAGCTCTTGTCGATCTACCTTTCGTTCAAATTGATGGTGGGTTTTCATTTCGAGTAGGGTTTTGTGTGTGGTTTTTGTTTCAAATCTACCCTTCTTCATATTCGTTTCAGATTTGGAACCAAGAAGATACTCACCTTCAACTTTTGGATTTGGGTTTTATTTCAGATCCAAAATCAAGAACGCATAACATCCATTGTGTGGTTATGTGTGTGTTGTGTTCTACACTCACTGGAAAATGTTCATCAGAGGGATACGAAGAGTTACACACATAGTTCGATCTTGAAAGATTTCGCATATACTCCGATCTTAAAAGTCAATTTCATATAGGTTTACAGCTTGAAGATCATTCTTGAAGTTCGTTATTTAGTTCATGAAATCGAGGTTGAGTCTTGATTTGTTAAGAACATACAAGGGCTAACACACACACACACAGAGAAATTTTCTTTTTCTTTTTTCTTTTTATTTCTGTAATAAAAAAATTGAAAAAGGGGAAATACCAAGGGTAAATCTATCAGCATAAAAAGTTTTAAAATTTTTGGACCAAACTTGCAACAAAACGAAACTATTGGACCATCCTTGCAGGTCAAACCTATTTTGGACCAAACTTGCTAGTTTTAACATACCATAGGGACCATTCTTGCAATTTTGTCTTAACAAGATGTCATCAAGTTCTTACTTTTCCATAGAACTTTTCCAACCCTAGAGTCGAGGTTCGCACCGAAGGTTCTTAAGCTGCCCGAATTCGATGGTAAGCAATAGTGTTGATATTTTATTCAAAAAGTCGAAAATTCCGTTTATTCTTTACTTGATTCTGCATCACTGCGAACCAAATGCGATTTCTTTGAGTTTTGATCGATCGCACTTGAGATTCAATGGCATACAGTTTTTTTTTTTTTTCCTCTTTTGAGACATTTTCAAAGACTACCGATTTTCATCACTAGAACAATCATTCAAAAACTACCAAGATGTATTTATAAACACCAACAACAAAACTGCATTTGATCTTAAAACAAGCAAAAAGAACAAGAAATTATACAGCAAATTTCTGTACTCTTAAAACTCCATGACCAAATTGCTGCAAGCATCCAAAGTAAGATATGGGATATGGGCGAATACAATAGAATAAGGAGCCACAACTATTGGCTTCAAAGAACTTACATACAAAGGCTCTAATGGAGGTATCTCACCTTCAGGATTTAAAATCAAATCTTTCCCATTCAACACCATTGTTTGACTATGCAAGTTTCCATCTTTTCCTGTCAGATGATATTCCTCTCGTGTTCTTGATCCACCCCTCACCATTTGAATTTCAATTGACATCTTTAGTGACAAATTTACATTAAATGTGGTGGTTTTGTCTAGATTGATGAGTAGGAGTGTTATTCCATCCTAAAAGAAAGATTCAACAAGATTATGAAATCAAAAACTGGAAACATGTTATGTTAGTTATTTATACAAGTGGTTTAACATATGCCACTTAACAACTCACATAAATCTCAACAAAATCGAGTCTTTAACAAACTTACTGATTGTTTAGCACAATGTGCATATGATCTGATTTTTTTGCTCCCACTAAAGTTTGTGGAAAGCACCGTTGTTCCCATTAGTCGATGCCACAAAAGAGCACTGAATCAAAGAGAAACAAAATCACATATCAAAATTTCAACTTTTTGAGAAGAAATGGTTGATTAGTAAGTCAAAGGTTTGACCTTTGAAAGTCAAAATGTACCTATAGTAATCTGGATTTGGCACAAAAGTAGTAGTGTTAAGTAAGCCATAATTTCCTCCAATTAAAGATTGTCTACAGTATGTCTTTGTGTTGTAAACAGCTGACATTCCTAGCTGATCCAAATACCTGTATAACAACATTCTTCAACCCTTAACTTTGAGTACACATATTTATACTTGTACCTTATGCATCAAGGGTTATACACTTGTACTTGTACTTACCAAAAACTAAACACAAATGCATTAGTCACAAGATTGTGTCCACTATTGTAAGCTCCACCAGCTTCACCAACCCAAGCAGATGCTAAACTTCCGGAAGTTTCTAGAATGTTCTTGAGTTGCTTAAATGTATCGATCTCATTATCAAGAACAGATGGATTAAGAATCTTTTCAACAAGGTTTTGATCAACTCCTGTTTCAAAAAACAATATAAAGTTCCAAACTTTACAATCTTTTTGAACATTACAAATGTTCTATTTCAATCTTTTGTTTACCTGGGCCAAGATTGTATATATGGTGAGTGACTACATCAAGAATTTCGGTTGTTTTGTTTATGAAGTCTTTGAACCATTTTGCATCAAAGAATCCACCTGGTGAGATAATTAGTGGCTTAGGTTCAATCCCATCATAAATTTCTTCTACTATGTTCTTGAGGGTAGTTGTGTCAATTGCGTATTGAGATGCTGTTACTTTTGCTCCAACTCCATTTCCACTTAACTCATTCCCTATAAATTATAATCATGCATTAAATGGAGAAAAGAAATAGCAACATGCTATAATAAATGAAACTACATTGTGATTTTTTGCAATTACCGAGTTCCCAAGCATAAATGGTGTAATTCTTTTTAACTGTATAACGAATAAAAGATTCAGCATTGGTGGAATCCCAAGCTCCAATGGTTGAACTATCTGCTTGAACTTTCCTTCCATTGAGAGCATTTAATCCAAAAATAATTACAGCTCTGAAGATAAAAGACCGATTATGAATTATGAGGAGATTTTTAGTTTTCAAATCATGAGATTTAATGAAAAAAGGGTGCTTTTTGGTTACCCGGTTTCATTAAAGAAGGTGTTTAGTTCATCCCATCTGGATAGAGGTAAGCAGCCTGGGTTAAAATTGAATAACGATGAGGTGTTTTTGGAAAATGGGATGCAGGATTCAGTTTGATCTTCGGTTTCATAGACAAGTTCATCTTGCAAACTTCCTCCCAATCGAATCTTTAATGGTGAAAAGGCTGCATAAAAAGTTTGACTTTTGGGGTCAAACGACTTGGAAAAGTGAAGAGTAGAGATGATAAGGGAGTAGTACTATACTACTATTCAGTATTCACCTTTGATTGCATTCTGAAAGATTGTGTTGTTAAGATCCTGCAAAGAAGAAAACCCAAAAATAAGCGAATGAATATAAATGAACCCCACAAAGTAAAGCCAAAATTAGGTAAACAGGAATTTGTTTGTCAACATCTACGATTGGATGATTGGACCCACGAAATAAAAACGATAAATGATCGGAACTGACACATCTAAAGTGCCTAAATTCGGAAAATTATGGTTGATTCATCAAACGGATGTGATCAAATGATTAAGTTTTTCATTATTGTTTGATTTTAAGAAGTGATTAAAAACACGAAGAAAGAAGATCATACCACATTGAGGAGAGAAGCATAACCCCAGCTGCAAGAACCATAATCGCATTTCTCCGGTGGCCACCAATCCATTGTCGCACAAATAAAATCAGTATCTGTCTCTGCAATCCCTCTTTCCCCATCAATGAAAACATTCCCGTTCTGAACTTTTGAATTCATAAAAATACAGATGGATGTGATCAATAAAACCCAGATATATACACCTATCTGCCAAGATAAAGAACCCATCTTGAAAGCTTTTTAGCTTTTTTGATGATTTACAATATTCAATGATCAAAGAAGTGCATGTGTCAGTGGAGGAGCAGGAACGAATGGACGGATTGATAAAGAACAAAAAGATCGAGTTTTCTCTGGGATTTCTTCCCTTCTTGATATAAGACTGTGGAGAAGAAGAGGTTGATTTAGGGTTTGGAAATGGGGGCTTCGAATTTAGGAATGAAGTGAAGAAGAAGAGGGTGTAGTGATGGCGATGGTCGTTGGCACCTTTTGTGCTATGCTCTGACGTATTGCTTGGAATGATATCATCTTTTGTATTAACAAATTCCATTTTACAATTTTATTAGACTAAATTACATGTTTCGTCCATGTAGTATTTCAAAAGTATTATGTTTAGTCCATAATACTTTCTTTTTTTGAATATTTGGTTCCTATTTGAAACCTTTGTAGCATATATAGTCTATTATCCTAACATCTATCACCCCCACCCGTTAAGCCCCCCCCCCCCCCCCCTCCTGGGGGGGGGGTTTCGACTTATACATGAGGGTATTTTGGTATTTTCCAATCATCCTATTTGAATCTAATCAATAAAGAAGGAAGCCAATGTGGGTTTTTCTTTTATTCGGCCACCATCATCTAATGTGTTTTCACTCTTGTTCAAAGTAATATTTAGTGTATATGGTCGATCTGTTATGATACAAACCTCTTACGCATTGGTGGTTTCGCCAACGGGGGTTGTGGGTTGAAGTACTTGTTAGGATTTTAGCCACCTACCTAAAAGTATAATATTGATTTGATTGTGCTAGATGATTGGGTAACTGAGACAGATCTGGCCTTTAAGGCTTGTTATTGCACTTACTGATAGAGGACCAACTTATTATGAAAAGATTAAGAGGTCACGCTCTAAGATAGTAGGTTACAATGAGGAATACGATCATTTATACAACTTTAAATAGATTGTCTTCAGATTAATTTCATAGAAAATTAAAGCATAATTTCCGTGCATCTCATATATGATCATGATGAAGAAGCACTTTTTTAACCATCAAAATAGGAATATGTACATCGATAAGTATATAAACATCTTTGTAAACAAGATAGGCTTTGCATTCATATTGGTACCTAATGAGTTGTCAAAGATTGACCAGCTTACATTAGGGTTATCGTTATAGTGTTAGTATAGTGCATATTTTCATGACATTGGAGTAAACCACAGGGGCTCCTAAACATGTAGATGATATACATCATAAAAAAAAGAAAAGAGTATGATAATGGTGAGAAACATAAGGTATGTGGACCATCTTTTTTTTTTTTTTTTTTTTTTTTTTTTTTTTTAACAAAAAGAATTCGAGTAAACTAGTGAGAAGCTAGGAAAATGTACAAGTGTAAAACATCACATCCACATATCCCATTTTAAGCTCCCAACCCTTTTAGTTCTAACACTACACCATAAAAATGATACATATAACACCTATGAAGATAGATGGGGGATACTTTTACAAGTTCTCTTGAAGAACATGTCATTCCTGTAAGACCAAAGAATCCACATAAAAGCTCTAATAATCATTAGTGTATATTAGTTAGCCCTATATTTATTTGTATATCCCAGTGTTTTACTGTACGTTTGATATGCCTAGTGTTGTAATCTCTTGTACTATATAATTCTCTTTCACGAAATTATTGTGATTCATGAGAAATATGTATCCTTTCATGGTATTAGAGACCCCCACCTTCTAACCCTAAACCGTTGGCTTCATTAACGTCGACCCATGTCTCCTTCTTATTCGATCCTTCTTCTTCTTTCTCTATTTTTCTTAGTTATTTATCATGGCTGGAGATGAAATTACCAACACTTCCAATGAAAATCTCAAACCCTACATAATCACTAATATTAAGGCTTTCGTTCCTTTTGTCCTTGATCTCTCTCAACTCAACTATGATGTTTGGCGAATCCTCTTCACCACCCACTGCAAAGGATATCAAGTTTTGGATCATCTGGATGGAACCTACACTTCTTCGCACGAGCTCTACTTCTTAACATTGTGGTTACTATTGTCTAGATCTTTCATCTTTCAAGATCATCATCTCTCGTCGTGTTGTATTCGACGAGACTTCTTTCCTTTTTCGATCCATGACTTTGGATCACCCTCCTTCATACACATTCCTTGATCATTGCTATGATCCTTCTCTTATTTCTCAATCTCTTCTCAAGATACCCTCTCCTATTGATCATGTTTCGACATTACCTCTAACAATCATCCCAAGAGTTCTCCCACCTCTCACATATACAACATCAAGAATTTTCCAACCTCCTCGGCCTCTCCTATGGACTCTCCTACTCCACTCATTCATCCTTCTCCTCTTTTTACAAGTCATCCCATAGCCACTATATTCCATCATAGAATCACCAAATCCATTTCCGGTCTAAACTTACATGTTTCTGTCGAGTCACCTATACCTAATCCATATCCATGCCCTTCATGACCCAAACTCGACTATTGTCATGTAGAATGAATTTAATGTTATTATTTCTAACAAAACTTGGAAGCTTGTTCGGAGGTCTCTCAGGGCCAATGTTTTTCACTCTATATGGTTATTTAAAAAGAAGTACAAAGGAAATGGTTCTCTTGACATGTATAAAGCTCGTCTAGTGGCGAACAGGAAACGTCAAAGATCAGGTGTTGACTTTGACCACATATTTAGTCTGGTTGTCAATCCGAACACCATTAGATATATTCTCAATATAGTAGTCTCTCATCATTGGCCTATTCACCAATTAGACGTGAAAAACACCTTTTTACACGACAATCTTCACAATATAGTATACATGCATTAGCCTCCGGGTTTTCGAGACCCGACACGCGTAGACTTTATTTGTCTTATGAAGAAGTCACTATATGGCCTTAAACAAGCCCTAAGAGCATGATTTCACCGATTCGTGGAGTACATTGCCAGGATTGGCTTCATTCACAGTAAGACTGATTCGTCGAGTACATTCATTTGATGATATGTTGTGCCACGTCATTTCTATGCTCCCAGGTGAGTTTTCCATGTCTGATCTTAGTGACCTATCATATTTTCTAGGCATCTCAACCACTTGGGATAATACAAGTATATTTCTATCCTAGCATAAATACTCCCTGGAAATTCTGAAGTGATCTCACATGTCAACTTGTAATCCCTGCCACACTCTAGCCGACTCTCAAGCTAAGTTCAATAATTACGCTCCTCCGGTTTCAAATCCCACACTATATCGTAGCCTGGATGGTGGTTTGCAGTACCTTACATTTACCCATCCATGAATCTCTTTTGTCATTCAACAAATATGTATTTATATACATGACATGAGAAACCTCATCTTCTGTAACGCCCCAAAAATTATAAGGTAAAAGTTTCATGTTTTATTCAACCAGAAACACCAAAAGTATTTCAGAATAAAAATAGTTAGCAGAGTACAATCCCAAAATCATATAGTTGTGAAAACATGGGTGGACGCGCTACGATCAAGTCGGAACCTTCCTTTTTGAACCGGAAGTACCGTAAACCATAACCATAAAACTGTAAGCACAAACCTTAGTTATTTCCCCAAAATACCACATACCATACATACCATCGGGCCTAGCCCTCACATTGGGACCAACCCACCATAATGAGCTTATCCCTCATACAATAGGCCTAGCCCAACATATCATGCAAGAGTCACAGAGATAGATAGCATCCTACATAACATACATTAGGCCTAGCTGTAACATCTTGTTCTTCCATGTATTTACCTTTGCCCCCTTAGTATATGATTGTTTGCAAAGTGGCCTTTTATGGAATTTTATTTTGGGGGGCAGCATGGGTGCGTTGGGCGTACATGCTGGTAGACTGGGCATACCTGGTCTTGCGTAAGCAAGCTTAGCGTATACTGGTATGTAGGCATACGTGGATTGGACCAAACCCTAAAATTTAGGGTTTGCACACTATTTAAACGCCCTTATAACCCTAAAACCTTTCCTTTTATCAGCCTCCATCCCTCATATCGACACCCCTTGCAAACCCTAACCTATTTTGAGCATTTTTGAGCTTTTGAGTGAGTTATAGTCATTCTTGTTTGTGAAGGAAGATCATCAAAGAAGTGGTTTTGTTCTCAAGTCCTTGGATCCAACAGTTTTCTCTTCATTGTTCAGCTTTTGGAGGTATAAAGCTCCGACCTTGATGCATGTTTCTCTAGATCTTGGTTAAGCTTAGAATTTTACCCCCTTTTATCCCAAAACCTAGGTCTTTGTGAGTATAAGGTACTCCAAATCCTTTAAAATTTCCTTTTATACATTTTAGGGTATGTTAAATCATAAAAATGGAAGCTTGGATCTTGGTTTGTCCCAATGCAAAAGTTGTGGTGTGGAAAATGATTGAATAAGTTAGGTTTTTTGTGTTGGCCACCTTGTAGCCATAAAAAGGCATGAAGATTGCAACTTTATGGCCTTAGAGGTTTTAATAAGCTCAGATCTGAAGTTTGGACATAAGGTCTTAACCACATTAAGACCTTAATGAGAGTTTTGATCTAAGGTGCATACGTTGGGCGTAAAAATATATACGTTGCATGTACTGCACCTCAGTTCTAGATTTTGGGCCATTCTTTTGGGCCTTAGACCATTAGGAGTTGGGTTTTTTTTTAGGTTGGGACAAATGAGATGGGAAAAATGATATTTTCCCCCTAATTAGGATAATGGGATTATTGGACCATTTATTATGGGTTAGAACCCCAGATTATTAATTAGGGATATTTTTTTGGGATATAATTAGTGTGAGGAGCCGCGTTAGCAGCAACTCGAGTGTGTGGTTCGATTGTCTTCTTTTGGAGGTGAGTTTTCTCAATAAGTCCATGGGTCGAAGGCACCAATATCGGCCCATTACCTTGTTACATAGAATGCTAGTTGTCTCTATGATACTTGCATGAAAGACCAGGATTTGGTCCCTGATAATTATATAAAAGACTAGGATCAGGCTTCTAGCAATTGTATGAAAGACCAAGATCTGACCCTGGCACTTGTATGTAAGACCTGGATTTGGGTCTCGACATTGCAAGGTGTAACGCCCGGGTTTTCAGGGCTAAGCATTTTTGTCAATATAATAATCTAAGTCAACTATTGTAACTCTTTTTGAAGTAATAAATATGAAATATTTGAGTATTATGTGAATTATGTGTGTTTATGTGTTTATTATTTAATTATAAATGTATAATTAATAAAGAATAAAAATGAGCGTCAAAATTAAAGTGTGAGATAATCCCGATATCTCTACATAAAGTTGTAGAATATGTCTCAAGGTTTCCGTGCGTATAAAGAA